GACGGCCTGGAGCTCCCTAATTGGGATGCTGCCCCCGCGACCTGGACCCGGATAAGCGGAGGAAGACGAAGACGAAGACGAAGACGAAGATTTATAGTTTCCCTTCCCCCTAGAATATTAGTTAATCTTGTCTTTAGGTTTTTACTCTTAGGTCATGTTAGTTTCCTCCCTGATCAGTTAATTGCTTTCACTTGGATCCTCTCCCCACACACCTGCAGCCTATCTGCCTCCCATCATGCCCCAGTGTATATAACCCTGTCTGCGTCTCTGTCTGTTGACGGTCCATTGTTTGTGTCGGCGTTGTTTCGTGCCTCGTCTCTAGGATTTGTGCTCTGTGTGAGCTTTCTTTCTCCTGTTGTTCAGGACTTTGGTTTTTGGCTTCCTGCCCTTTTTGGATTTTTCGTCCCTCATCCTAATAAAAAGGATTTACGTGTCATCTGGGGTATTCTGCATCTTGGGTCCTAACCTCCTCCTAACCTTCAACATGACAGCCTGATGTGTTTGTAACTCAGGGAGAGGCAGACTGCCACCAAACTTGTGAAGAAGACACAAACAGATTATAAGGACATTTTCAGCGTAATAGTTCTGATTTGAGATGACGTTTTTTAATCGAGACGATTACTGGAAGAGGACCAAAGCCCCATCTCAGTCTGTAGAGGTGCATTGTATAATGATTACGGGTGAAAGTGCTTCTTGTCACACCCAGCCAGGAGCCCAGCTCTTTGTTTCCTGTTTTACTTTGACATCCTCCTCTCTCCTCTGTGTCACTTCCTGTCCTTCGTTAACCAGATTCATCCCAGCTCTCTCTGTTCTCCTTTTCAGTTGCCAGTTCATTGTTGTCTTCTAGCTCTTCGTTCCAGCCGTGGTTAGTGTTTGCTCTCAGTATTTTTGACTTGGTTTTGGTGAATCTGTTTCTGCACTCTTTTGCCGGCTAACTTGGAATTGCTTGTTGGAATATTTACCTGCTTTTTGACCTCTGCCTTAATAAAGGACATTTGCCTTTTACCTCCTCGTTCTCAAGCCCTGCTTCTGGGTCCAGTTCCCTATACCTGACAGCTTCTTATCTTTGAGAATCGATTTAATGTTTGAAGTTCCAACCTTATTGGTCACGACAAATCTGTTTTCATCACCAGCAGGTGGCAGTTTGGGTTTTCTGTAAATGAGCAGAAAAAGGTCAAACTGGCAGTGAACTACATGAAAAGTTAAAGTAAATCTAAATGTTCTCATCATCAGAAGCTGCTTTGTTTGTTTAGGATTTGTTACTTTTTAGTACCTGATTCACCATTAGGCCACATTCCCACGTAAAGAGTTTATATCTACATTTAATTTTATTTAGCTTTATTATTTTTTTTTGTTAAATTATTAAAATAATTTAACAAACACTCGTAAGAGGACAGGAAATACCTAGAGAACTTTATTTGTACAGGTTTTAACCGTGGGAGATTAGAAATGTATTTAACTTTGATTAATTGTAATAATTTAGCATTTTTGTTCACTTTCAGTTTAAGAACTTTAGTGTTGTGGCCGTGTCTGAGATTGAGACTGGATGCATGTTCAATAGATCGCTGATTTATTTAGGTGCAGATGGACTTGAGAGCACGTTTCTCCTGTACCAAAAACATAAATTGAGCATCAAATATCAGTACCCTGATTTTGTTCCTCTCATCTTCTAATCTGACTTTTCTGCCCATGGAGAAGTTGTTTTGGTGTTCAAACAAAGGCCAGCTCGTTGATCAGACTTCTCACTAAAACATGTCTTCTGGAAGGGGACAGTCCTACAGATGGACAAAAGACTGATTACTGCTAAATTGTTTGGCTGTTTTGTGTCGAAAGAATATGAATTAAACGACTAAATATTTAGCTACTTTTGATGGCAAACAGGAGTTGGGTGTATAAAGTGCAAGGAGATCCGTCAGGTATTTAGGCCCCATGCCACTGAGGGATTTATAAACTAGTAGTAGCATTTTAAAATAGATTTTACAGTTTAGTGGTAGCCAGTGCAGAAATGTGAGAACAGGACTGATGTGCTTGGTTATCTTTTTTCTTGTTAGGACTCAAGCAGCAGCATTCTCAGTGAGCTGCAGTTTCTTCCCAGCTGTTTTGGGAAGACCATCCAAAAGACCATTGCAATAGTCCAGCCTGCTGGAGATGAACGCATGATTGAGCTTCTCTAGGTCTTGTCTGGGCACGAGACCTCTGAGTCTTGCTATTTGATGTAGATGATAAAACACTGATCTAGGTATAGATTTAATTGACAATGTAGTTTTTACCAGCAATCTCTGGAAATATGCATCAGAAAGTTGTTGAAAATGAATAAATTATTGGCAGCTTTGTACCATAAACCAATAAAAATCAAGTCTAAAGTATATAGAAGGCAGGTCTAGCATCTTTGAGAGATGCTATATTAGACGCCATGTTTCCTTCTGGCCCACTCTGGGTCCTGCGCCTGTCGATGACATCACACTAGATGATTGGCTGGATGTACAACTCATGGAAGTTACGATGCCACATTCAAAACGTTATTGCAGTAAGAGAAACACAACTTTAATAACAAAACTGCTAAACTCTTTCCAGAACCAACGTGAAAGAACAGAATTGAAAGAGAGATGCAATATATTTTGACTGAGCGGTATTGCCGTAGTATGATGATGTCATCGGCAGGCACAGGAGGACCCCAAGCAGATCTGGAAACTACAATCGGCATTTCATCCTCTTGATTGAATTAACTTAAGGACCATCAAAGTCTGAGGAGTCACTCTGAGCTCTCGTGTTTTCTGCTGGTGTAAAACCACCCTGAAATGTATGTACTGCCCCCTAGCGCCAGGAAACGGCATACTGCCTCTTTAATGTGACCAGTGAAGCTCAGGTCTGAATCAGTTATGACACCAAGATTTCTAACTTGAATTTTTGTGTTTTTGAGTTTGAAAGTGATCATTTATAAATGAAAGGGGCCACAGATGACCACATGATGGCCCTTCTGACTTTACCGGAACAAAAATCTTCTTTATTCACTCGGCAAAATAAATCACATGGTTTTAGTGATTTGCTGTGGGAATAAATGAGTGTCATGGTTTAAAACTTAAGCCAGATGTTTTTTCTCACTTCAGCAGACTTTAGCTTCTTCTGGCTGAATGAAAGGGTGAAAAGGTGAACACAAGAGAGCTGTTTTGTTGTCTGTTTGTGGACAGAACAGTAACATTTTAACTGATTTGGGTAAAAAAATCTCCATTACACAAATTCCCACTAAATAAAAATGCTGATAGTCAAAATCCTAAGAAGGGAATTTAGTAGCAGTTTTTACTTAATGAGGGTTTTCAATGAGACGAGGAGAGTTGTCGACGTTCAGCACTGGACAGCTTCCATCAAATCAAACAGAACAGAGCAGAGCGGGAATGACGCGGGATGTGACCCAGCATGGCAGCTCCGTGGGCTCGGTCTAATCACAGGCGTGGAGCCTACAGCGGACTCACTGGCTCTGCTCAAGCAGGAGACTCCGTGTGTGTGTGTGTGTGTGTGTGTGTGTGTGTGTGTGTGTGTGTGTGTGTGTGTGTGTGTGTGTGTGTGTGTGCGTGCGTGCGTGCGTGCGTGTGTGTGTGTGTGTGTGTGTGTGTGTGTGTGTGTGTGTGTGTGTGTAAGAGGAGAGAGAGAGAGAGAGAGAGAGAGAGAGAGAGAGAGAGAGAGAGAGAGAGAGAGAGAGTTATTTCTTGGTTGTCTTTGTGGCAGCGACACATGGAAAGCATGTTTCTGTATCATCAGTAACAGGTTCTGTTGACACTGACCAATGTTATTTCAGCTTTTTAATAATAAATAAAAAAAACATCAGAAGTCGCAGATGATTTAGATAATCAATAAATAAAAATATTTCTGTTTGTCTTGTTCTTTTTTGTTGTTGTTGTTGCTCCATTTGGGAATTTACTTTAATTTTGGTTGCATATTTTTTCTATTAAAATCGTTTTAAAATACCTTGAAAGTCCTTTAGAAAGTTTGGAGAATATTTGAGTCTGGCAGCTTAATGGAGCGGAAACATAAAGACACAAAAGGCAGAAGGATCTCAAGGAGAATGCAGGATTTGGTCGAGAAAAGAACAGAACTTCTGTTTTCTTTTAAATATATTTCACGATTTCACATCCAATGAGCTTTCTTAGTTCAAACCAAAGAAATGAGAAGTGTGAGATCAAAAACATGCCCCTCTTCCTCCTGAGGGGTTGAGTCGTTGCTGTCCAGCAACACAAATGCTTATAATCACACTCCTGAAAGTGAAAATTGTAAAATGTGGCATTTACTAATTGATGTCATCTTTTCTTCCTCCATATTTGCTATAAAACACATGTGAGGTTTTAAATCTCCCAACCCCTGCCTCAACATGATGGTTCAGATGTCTGCGATGTTCTGAAGTTCGCTAGAACCGTCTCACCCTGTCCTGTCTCCCCATTCTGTTCTGTCACTTGTCTCTGTTGCTCCCACCTGCTTCTCGTTTTCCAATCACCCAAGCTCCCAGCCCTAAACCCCTCCAGTTCTGTGTCTCTTGTCGGTTCATTGTTTCTTTGTCCAGCGTGCTTTATATATTAAAACTATTCCAAAACCGTTCCTGCCCGCCTGGCTGCTTTCCTCACCCGCATTTGGATCCTTGCCTCCGTTTCACTCACCGGCACGCGCTGACAAGAACATAAACCACAAACACACAAACATTTTTTAAAACTGATCTAAACTAAGTTTTACATTTTTGTTCGATCTTCTCCATAATGTCCAAACATCTGGAACCTATTAACTTTGCGCACTCGTCTTTTCTCATCAGCCCTGCAGTGTTTGAGAGCCTCAAAGGAGACACTAGATGGCAACCAAGCTGGGTGGTAGACTGTGTGTGTGTGTGTGTGTGTGTGTGTGTGTGTGTGTGTGTGTGTGTGTGTGTGTGTGTGTGTGTGTGTGTGTGTGTGTGTGTGTGTGTGTGAGGGTGGGGTGGGAGATGGGGGATAAATTACGTGGGACAGCGGAGGGACTGACGGTGTTTTACTCAGCTCGCAGCTGGAGGAGAGCATCAGAGCGGGAAGCCGGTGACACAGCACGGGAATAACGGGAGTGTTAAAAAGAGTTGGACCACATCTGGGTGCGCGAGTTACAAATTAACTATTTTAAATTGACAGATTATTGCCTCCGGGTGGGATTGGGTCCGCAGTGGAAAGATGCGTCGCGCCTGCGGTGGCACCACTGCGCCCTTTGGAGACAGAGCCGGTGACGCGCCGACACCCCGCCGCTCCTAGATAGATGGCTCCAACATTTGGGGTGCAAAACAGGTGTCAGGGAAGTGTCGTCACGAACCCCGGAAGCCGGAGGAGGTGGGAACATCAGAGGGAAAGATGGCAGCGAAATCCGATGGTCGCGGGGTCGTCACCGGTTTCGCCCAGCTGCACAACCTGGACGAGGTGGTGGGAGCGGGGGAGGACGACGCACTGGATGGCAGCTCCTTCCACATCTGCCACTGCTGCAACACTTCGTCGTGCTACTGGGGCTGCCGGAGCGCCTGCCTGCATTACCTCCGGAGGAAAGGCAAAGGGAAGGGGAGGGATGCGGGGCGACCACAGCAGGAGGAGCGCCTCTGGCTGGACTGCCTGTGGATCGTTCTGGCACTGTTGGTGTTCTTCTGGGACGTGGGGACCGATCTGTGGCTGGCTGTCGACTACTACTACAAGCAGAACTTCTTGTGGTCGGGCCTGACCCTGTTCTTCGTGTTAGTGCCCTCGGTGCTGGTCCAGATCCTGAGCTTCAGGTGGTTTGTGCAGGATTACACCGGGGGCGGACTGGGCTCCGTGGAGGGGCTGAGCAGTCGTAGAGCCACGGCCAGTTTCCAGCGAGACAGGTGCTGCCGCCTGTCCGTCTGGGTCTGGCAGTCCGTCATCCACATCTTTCAGATGGGACAGGTGTGGAGGTAAGGCAAACTTTTTAGTCCAACCTCTAAAAAACAAATCAAAACATAAAAAGCCCATTCAGACTAATTTAAAGCGAGCTGTTTCCACCTTCACCTGACGTAACCCGATCATGTCTGGGGGAACCGTGATGCCATGATCGTCACCCTCACCTCAACACCAACCCACCTATGTCTGCATTTCGCTTCATGCACAACTTTAGTCTCACAGTAGGGTTTAAATTATATCAAATCCACGTTTTTATCCAGATGTGTCACATCTGGACGGAAATGACGCCAAAAGTGTTCAGCACAGTGCGCCATTGCGCTTGTGTGTAAGAGGGGGGGGGGGGGGGGGGGGGTTGTTCAAATTGGGGTAGCTTGTGTGTGTGTGTGTGTGTGTGTGTGTGTGTGTGTGTGTGTGTGTGTGTGTGTGTGTGTTTTAAGACAGGCACCCCCATCCCCCTTTCCGCAGCGATCCAGACGAGCATCTGCTTTCACGGCTCACAAAACTACATGTCCCCCCCCCCCCCCCCCCCACAGACATGACGTCATCGATTTCTCCGCGATGCTGCGTGCTCCCTAAATCCGATTTCGCGTGTTCATTTTGTCGCTCCCTCTTTCTCTCTCTCTTTTTATTAACAAACAGACGCGCGGCGAACCGTGGAGATGCGCGTAAATCTGACATGCAGAGCGGCTACTGTAGTGAAATGGCACTCTGGCGCGCGCTGTTCAGGCAGACCAGTGCAAGCGAGTTGTTATTTGGTGCAGACAGACGCAGTGGCTGGCATTTAATGGAAAAGAAGTAACGCATGATGGCTGTCCCGAAGGGGCTGCATGTGTGGAATTAAGTAAATCAGCTGCAGAACGCGTGAGCCAAAGGAAGGGATCAGATGTGTGTTTTCAACTGCTCCTGATTCATTGCAGCATTTCTGTTTGGCAGCTTTTTCTCACACAAATGCACTTCACAATGCTCCTGTGTTTTATTCTAAAGCATGAGAACATTTGAGCCACAAGCTAAATGATTCACACGAGTTCAGGAGTAAAAAAAAAAAAAAAACTCCAACTCACTGACCTTTGTTGATGAGAGCCACAGGCAGTAATTGGATATTTCTTCTTTTTTGTAGAAACCAACCTAAGTTTTTATTACAGGCTTGAAAATAGCATATTCTTGCACTGAAGATAAACTTAGAGCCTGTCAGTGGAGGAAAAGGTGGGTTCCTCCAGACTTAGAGGTTCCTCTGACTCTGAACATCTGTTCTATTGATCAGCTGCAGCTGCATGTCTTCAAGTTGGTGTGGTTCGATTGATAAGCTCATATTTGCAGTGGGTACATACACGGAAGGGCTGTTTGCTAAGTCAGAGGTGAGTGATGTCATCAGCATTAGCTCCAGTGCACAAGAATGTATTTAAGAACAAATGTTTGGCTCTGACTCGGCTTCCTGTTGTTTCACTGTAAAACATGAATGAATAATTCAGATAGTGTTGATTTAAAAAATCACAAACAAAAATACATCATTTACTGTTTAAACAGCCTCTGTTTGAAAGGGCAAAGGTGAGCTTTAACTGGACTGACTGGATCAATGAGTTAACAGCTAGTTTCAGAAATATCGTTGTAAAATCATGCAAACTCTAGCACGATTGGCTTATTGTTGATTGTTTGATCTGAAACTCAAAAAAACAGTCAGTCAGCACACTTTTACTGGTGAGTGAGTTCACCATCGCTAGGTGCTAATGTATGTATGCAATCCTTCATTAATTCACTGTGGTTAAACCAAACCGCCCTGACCGCAAGTCTGAAGTTGCAAGTGTGATATTCTGGTCACGGGGTGGTGGGGGTCTGGGTGACACGTCATTGACCCTGTAAACACTCAGCACATACTGGCTTGAGAAAATGTTTTACAAATATACGTTCTTTTAACCACGATTCGTTGTTGCATTTGAATCAGCTCTCAAAAAGAGAATCGGTGCATTCAAATAGACGCTTATTGGATAAATTATTGTTTTTGTTGCTGATTTAATTCATAGTTTTTGTGGAAAGAGATCATTTGAAGGTTTGTTTGACTTTTCTTTTTTTCTTTGGTTTATGTGAATTGCAGGTGCAACACTGCATAAAACACACCAAGCTAGCCTACTCTTACTGTTTTACTGACTGTCGTGGCAACTCCCAGCCTGACTCATGTCAGAGCTCTTTCCTTCACCAGACATGATCCGCCTCACCACTGGTACGGAGTTGAGGGTCAAAAGCTGCTCTTGTCGGCTTAACTGGAGTTCACAGCCTATAAGAGCCACGGGGAAGACAGATATGGAGATTATTAGACACTGAGAGGGCCCATCTTGCAGGGCACAAAGAGTTCAGATACTTCCCTGAAAATGTCTTCATTTCAGTTTCTTTTTACTTGTTTTGTTGGAAATCTCCAAACTTTTCAGTTTTTCTAAGTCATTTTAGGCAAGACTGAGCTTTTCTGGTTTTCATTAATGCGACAAAACAAGCTTGAAGTGCTGACAGGATTCAAAAACACCTCCTCATCATGTCTCATTAGTCTGTTTATTTATTTATTTATAACTCTACATTAAATTAGCCACTTCTTTGCTGTGCACCTGAAGACCAAGCTGATGGCACAATCTCTGCTTGTCTTGCAATTATCTCCCTGCTAATTGTTGACAGAGTCCCATCTGTAATCCCACCATGTCACCGGGTACCGCGGCTCTTTCATGTCCCTCCTGCCTGTGAATCCTCTGCTCTGCTGATGCTGTTAGAGATTCTGCTCAAGCGCACAGTGGATCAGACGTACACAGAGGTCTCCTGGTGCTACGATGGACAGCTTAATCAGTGTAAGCCCAAATTAGCTTCTCACCTAGCGAGAGCTGCGTCCATCCACTAACTACTTTGCAGAAAGCCACGTGGGAAGTTGGGAATTCCCAGCAGAAATGTGCTGTCTGCATGTGTGCAGAATTTCCTGCTTCTGGAATTTCAGCCTGCCTTTTTTGAGAATGTTTCAGAATTGCAAATCTTTTCACGTGCTAGTGAAGATTGTGCATCTCAAAGCCTGTAAGTTAGTTTTGTTCATGTTGAAGTCATCGGAACTAACAGAGATGATCTATCTGTTCAGCCGGGATCAGCTCATCCTAAAGGAGCTGTCCAGTGCTGAAAAGCACAATCAAAAGCTAATACCTCACTACTAGGTCATATCTGATCACATGTTGTCAGCATGAGCTCTGATTGGCTAAGGTTGTGTTGACAATTACCCTTCCTGAGATGGGCTACAGATGATTCCTGCATCTGACTGTGGATTAAATTGGTTTAGTCCTTTGTGGTTTGGATCTCTGAAAGCAGATGTGGCCTGGGGGTCATCAGTTGATAATAAAGGATCTCATTTCACTGTAGTGAATGTAAAAGGCTGAAAACTCCACATCTTAACTGTTTGCTTTTCAGTTTGTTGGTAAATAGTTTCACAAATTACTTGATTTTGTCAAAAAGTCACTGAATTTTATTTTGTTTAGTAGGAAATTAGTGTCTGCTTCACAATGTTGCTTTGTGAGCATCACTCGTCTCATTTTGTCAGTAAAATAAAATTAAATCAAACCAGAAAACATCCCTGTTCACATAATCAACAAAAGTTAGGATTTAAAAGCGGTCTAAATTGAGCTTCTTTACGCTGAGCTGGTGAGCGTGTGTTTGATTGTTCATTGATTCTTGAATGTCAGCTGTTCAGGAATTCAACAGAATCCAGATAAGAAGGGGATTCCCATTTTTCAGAACAAAACATTTTAATGTGACCAATCTGGTTGGCTGGATTATACCATAATCCAGAATAATAACAGGCTCACTACTGAGAAACAGGGGGAATAAATTGCCTCATGGTTGCCATAGACGGGTAAATATTGTTCCAGACTGCGAAGGACGTAACAAAAGCCCCTCTTGGCTGGCCAGGTGTCTGAGGCTTGCTAAAGAAAAGAAGAAAAAGCTTTTCTGATGCAATCAGCTGCTGTGTCAAAGGAAACATATACAGCTGTGGAAGTGAAAGCTGTTTAATATGAAGCTTGGATGAAATTAGTGACAATTACTGTAATTATGGGATGTTGAAATGTGAGAAGTTTTTCTTCTCATTAAGAAATGAAGGATTTAACTGATGGATATTTGCAGTTTTGCCTTTTTTTAACTTAAGGAAGAAGATTAGGGCCACTGAAAAGGAAAAATGAAAAGAATGAGAATTCTGAGATTAAAGTCAGAAATCTGACTAGCGCTGAGTCGGACTACAGAGATGAAGTCAACAGACTGACTTTGTGGTAAACAACCTCCAACTGAACACCACCAAAACTTAATAACTTATCTTGGACTTCAGAAAGGGCAGAGCCAACCTGAGCCCACTTTACCTGCACAGAGACTGTGTGGAGGGGGTACACTCCACGAGTTTCTGGGTGTGCAGGTCTCTGATGATCTCTCCTGGACTGCAAATGTCACGGTGGTGGTAAAAAAGACCCAGAGCCACCGTAGAGAGCATGCTAGCATACAGCATCACAACATGCTATGCAGGGTGCTCAGCTGCAGACAGGAAAGCAGTGCAGAGGCTCATCAGCACAGCCCAGACCATCCCTGGCTGCTCTCTGCCCAGCCTGGAGGACATTGCCAACTCTCATTACCTCAGTAGAGCAGACAAGGACTACTCTCACCCCAGTAACCATCTGTGTGACCTGTTACTGTCAGGCCAACGGTACAAGTCACATAAAACCCGGACAAATAGATTCAGGGATAGCTTCTTTCCCAGAGCCATCACCGCATTAAAGCACAAAAACGGATGGACCTGTTACCCCGAACTACACATTTACTGTTCAGTCATGTACAATAACATTTATACGTCCTTTACTCAACGTGCTAAAATTCTGCTTACAATACTGACCTGCACAGAACCCAACTAATGCTGCTACAATATAAATGCTGTATACATTTGTACACATTACTGTTAATTTAACATTTACTTTGTTTCTGTATTTTTTTGTATTCTTTTACATTTTGCACCAAA